TTGTAGGATACTTTTCAACCAACCAACTGTGCTGTCAAATGATTACAGTGGTTAATTCTCTGTAGAGAATTCTATGTTTTGTAGAATTCCGGAACCTAATATAACTGTTTTCAGACCCTGGTGTTGTATTTGTTCACTTAATTACACCAGACTACAGGGTGTATTTGTACACAGTGTTTTACCCTCAAAATGAAACTTTTATCTTAGGCATGAATGTTAAAACATCATATGAAATGTGAAAGACACTAAAAAGATATTTTATCTCATTGCAGTAAGATCTGTAGAGGAAATTCTTCTAAGGATTTACAACGGAAGTAAAAAAGAGTGCTTTGTGAATTATTAACTTTAGGCTGTAAAACTTTAAAGGTTTCTTTTCTAAATATTTGTGTAAACCAAGCAATAACACAGACATGTGACTAGGCACTGCTGATTGAGGTAAGGACATGGTGTGTGGTGACCCTTGTGTCTCCCTGTATGAACCCACTCAGCATTTCTCACAAACACTCTTTGGGGATACAGGCCCCTCCAGAAGAGGAGGAGGAGGAGGAGGAATTTCACTGTGTAAGCCTTTTATTCCCTTTCAAGCCGTCTCTCCCCAACCCTCTACTATTCAGCTTGCTCATTCTACTGTTCTCGGCCAAGTTCCCTGATGGAAAAACATGTGGGTGCTGGTGTGGTACACCACACTTGCCTCTGAAGGAAGGTCAAAACAAATGTATAATCTGTGCATAGTGAATTAATCCCTACTACTTACTTGTAGTGTTGCCCTGCATCTGAATTATACATTTGGAATCCTTGCTCATCTCCCTGGAGTTGAAGGGCCGAACTCGAACGGCCACTTTTACCGACGCCCCAGACATGTTTGCAGGTTATGAGAGTCCCCCGGTAAGATTCCTTGTATAACACCTGGGGAACAAAGAAGAATAAGCATTATTTTTGAGTAGCCTTTATCTGTATAAAACAAGGGAGGAAAAAATGGCTGCAATGTTGCAGAATCCACTAATGTTTTCACCTTCAACAGGGCTTGATGATTTTTTATCATAGGTTTATCTCTAAAATTGATCTGAATTAACTAAACGGACATTAAGGTTTTATTGAAAAATACATTAAAACTGGGGACTGAGATAAGCAACAACAAATGTGTGTTGAGTGGAGAGAAGAACCAGCAGCAGACATAGTTTCCCAGAGTCACACGATTCATACAAAGTTATTTCTAAACCCAGCAGAGCAGAGCATCTCTTGGCCTGTTGTTGTCATGTCTCCATTTTTTTAACTGTAAAACAGTTTAACATCTAGTTTTGTATTAAATTTGCGACAATGTGCCTTAGTGTATTTCTTATTTACAGTGAATGACGGAATATGTCCAAAAAAACCAAACAAACAATGAATATATGATGATAATAAAATATGCAAAAGCTGTGCATCAAATACCATCAAAATGAAGCACCTAATAACATTTTTTTTTTTTCATTTTTGTGATCAGTGGCTGTTTAAACAAGCCACCTAATGGCTGCAGGGTGACTCATTTAATTCATGAATCTACAACAGATGTGACTGGTCCTTCTTAAGACATAGTTTTAAATTCTGCTTAACTTCCCAATATGTGCATTCTAATTAAAGCCATATCTCCCGCACCCTGAGACTACAGAGGCCACATACAGTATCTCCAAGTCTTTTACAGTCAGCCATTACTTGCTATAAAGCATACGCCCATGTAACTCTATCCCTTGTGTTTGGTGTGGGGGTATACAGTGGGTCAGTGAGCAGGGCCTGGTCGTCTGTCTGTGTTCGTACTTCCTGCAGTGACCATCCACTGTGTGCACACAAAGAGATTTAAGTCGGGCTATTTAAAAATATTCAAATGTTTGGGAGATGGTTGATCCTGGCTGTGTGTGCTGTGCAGCAAGGCAGGGAGGAGTTGCATGGTTGTTTTGGCAGCAGATGCTCGACTCTCTGCTGTGTATGAAGCATGCATGACAAGCTGTAAGATGGAATTTAACACTACATTCTCGTGATTGCAGCGTGTCATTTACTGTATTATACCGTTTACGCTCAAAGACATTGCTGGCTGCTGCTAACGAGGTAGAGCTACCAATCATTACAGGTTTGTTTGACGGCTAAAACCACAAACAGGTTCGTTGCACCTATGATATACGTTCACACTGAAAGACGAAAATGACAGTGTTAACGAAACCAGGACTGTGCGTCCAAACCTGGTCCGAACCTGTTCTCCCGTAACAACTGTTAGCTTATATTGACAGTGACCCTAACCACCCACGTAATAACGCATATAATAACTGTGATAAAACGCTGCTAATGCAATATACAATATAATATAAATATATATGTTTACTCACGTTAGAAGACTCTCACCACGACGACTCCGACACCACAGGACGGCCGTGAGAACTAACGGTAGCTTAGCGGCGGGGCGTCAAACGCGTTGTTTTCTATCAGAAACTGCGAGCACAGGAACTGCCATAAAGTCCAGTTTGGTGGTAAACAGCCATTGTCGCGGTGTCCGCAGCTGTAACGGCGGCCAGTGAAATCTTGGCCGATATTTCTGACTTAATAGAAAAAGGTTGGCAAGAGGGCGAGGAGAAGAGAGGAGGAATTGATATATAGCATTGATTCACCGAACAGATTACGTCAACTCGCTCCTCGTCTGCACGCTGACTGACGGCCCGACAGACCAATCAGCGGTCAGGTAGCGCTGCATTGTCCATAATGATTCGATTATTCGTAAGGAATAGGTGGAATGGGCGGGGCCATGCTCCCCCACTCTATGTCTCTCGATCGCTCTCTCTCCCGTGACGCCACACTGCAGGATTTCTTCCCTCCACCCCGCATACGTCCATGCCCCTGCACCTCTTTCACCGCAACACTCAGGGTCATTGCAAAATAACGCCGCCTATCGACCGATTATCAGACCTACCGTCTCAACCATGCATCAAACAACCATGCAAATAAATAAATAAAACAGCCTTAGGTTTTATTGGAAATATCAGTGTGGTTGTCCCATTGTGACACAAATGAATTCTTTTTAAAACTGTTTTCTAGACGTTCTTGGGTATAGCTAAAAAATTGCATGTAATTAACAGAAAGAAAAACCAAATAAACACATAAGTAACAAATGATGTAAAAATGCAAGACAAATAGTTGAAAATGTTAACTTAGAAAATTGCAGAGTTAACATAATGTTTAGGGCGACCTGGTCCAAAAGGGACTGAATGACACAAGTGGGTAAAAAAAATGTGACAAGATGTAAAAAATTGTGCATCATCTTTTATTTCAGTTCAAAATTCTAGTTTCCAAAACATGTATGTGGTTAAAGGAAATTAATTCCTGTACAGCTTAGGTCAGCAAGTTCAAGTTAGGTACAGTGCCATTCTAAAGAAACCTTTTCTGAGGTGAGATGTCAGTAGCACTCTAAGAAGGGACTTAATGTTGTGATCCTATGACGGTGTTCCTGCTGGTCATGCTATATTCTCACTTCACCACAGGATGGTTTATTTTGTTCATGAGGCGGTTCTGAGCTGCTGGACGTAAGGCCATGCACACACAAGAAATTCACTCTATTGATGTCAGCATGAGGAACCCAGACTAAAAATAAAAGACTGAACAAATTGTATGTGGTAAACCACTGCTCAGCTTTCTACTGAACTCTGAAGGCTGTTACAGTTATATTTCTGAAAATTATATCCATAACACATTATCCAAGACGCAAACTGCATCCACGAGCATAACCTGTGCAGGTGCTAACTCTGGGACACCAGCGTTTGTTACCTCAACTCAATCATCACAGTCTTAATTAAAATAAAAAATACAAATTACAGGTTACAACATATACTAGACTGCAACACATGTATTTCCCTCTTACCTGCACTAATAGTTCAGTCCTTATGTTTTTACTGCTGTCAACATGTTACAGAATTACAAAACAAAAATGAGAGCAGTAAAGGAAAAATATCAGTGAATGTATGCGCCTCCCTAGCAAAAACCTGTTCATTGAAAACTTGCTGCATTGTAATGCATTACCTAACACTTGTTATATATATTTATTTTATATATATACAAAGTCATGAGAAAACCAAAGGAAAAGTCTTAATTTTATTATGTTTCATTTTAAGAACCACTGTAATGGTTTGAGACAAGGAGTAAATGCAAATGAAAAAAATATCTAGTCTTTTTTTTTTCTTTTTTTGTTGTCATTGGTTGCAGTGACACCAAATTCAGGGGATGAGGACAAATCCTTTGAGTGGGTCAAGGTCAGGGAGGGGAGACATGGTCCTTAGACAAGTCGTCCACCCTGCTTCTCTCTCATCCAGGCTTGGATCCTTTCCTTCAGCTCAGGAACTGCGAAAGTTACAGATCAAAAATCAGCAAAGAAAGAGTATGTTGCTCTTTTGGTTGCCAAGACTGCAAAACATTGAGCAGTGTCTTTCAAAATCAGAGGTAAAAAGACATCAATAGATTTACCTGGCTCCAACATGCTCTCTGTGAGTGGCTGTCTGTTGAAGGGATCAGTGTTAGAGTTGAGCAGGTGGCGGAGGATGATGGATCGGTCCATGATTTTCCCGGAAGGCAGCAACACAGGGTCAGTCATCAGTGTGTCCATCAGTGGGTCTGTTAAAACACAGTCACATAAATGTTTTAGAGATGCATAAACCCACCCTTGTACATTCAAAGCACATGACGGTGTTTGTGAAATTAAGAAATTTTTATTAATAAATAAATAATCAAATGAAAAAGACTTCAATATAACCATAGCATTTATAGTTCTTTTTAGTTACACTGCTGTACAGTAACTAGACTGCAATATGCTTTATGATAGCAATGCCTGTCAAAATGCTGGTGAAGTAAAAAAAAAAAAAAAAAAAAAAAAAAAAAAACATCCAATAAATAATCCAATAAATATCCAACCACAGTGTTTAATAAAGAGTGTCCCTTATTAAAATGTCACAAGGTTGTTACAGTTGGGCCTTGTTTGATACAAAAATAAAGCCTGGCATGGCCGACTTTACCCACATTGAAAGTTGAGACGCCTGCCTCCTCTATGGCACACTCCTATTAACAGTGTTGGGTGGGCTGGTATATCAGGGGATCAAAGGTGGTATGTGAGCCACGTTCTCTTACTAGATTATATTAGGTCTGAGGTCATTTGATAGCCCTGCTCTAAGCTGTCTATATGACCTCGGTGAGCTATAAAATCCCCTCACAAATGCTTGGAATCTAACAGTAACATAGAGTCTGGAAGATCTTGTCCATCTGCACTGAATGTCATGGGATCACAACTTTGGACCAAATGGTTTATATTTGTTGGATTTCAAATATCTTATATAAAAAAACAAAAATAAATGATGTGTGCTGAAAGTAAAACGTGATGGGCACAAACACACTCACCTTTGAACTCGTCAGGTGCATCACTGTAGTCCATTTCGGATTGAGAGTTTCTGGCAACTATTTCTTCGACTTTCTCCAAAAGCAACTTGAATTTTTCAATTGCGATGGAGGATTTAATTCCAGCTTTTCTCATCTTGGAGATCACCTCTTCGAAGAGCTCGCGGCTGTACGACCTCTGCACCAAAGAAAGAACAAGGAAAATTTTATTAAGAAGCTGCAGGAAATTGGTGTCTGTTAGATGGAGTGACTGCTTCGAGTGTTTGTTTCTAAGTTTTCCTTTTCTTAATTTTATTTAACTAAGCTTGGTCAGTTATCATCATGCCACAGTGGCAACTAAGCATGTCACTCACAGATTTACGTATTTCCACTGTTTATTTCTGAGCATTACTATTGAAAAGCTTTCAGTTACTAACAACATACAGTACCATTCTAACATATGTAGGTAAACTAGGTTTACCAAATGGTTAATTAGAAATGTATCTATATGATTAGCATAAGTTTATCTAGTAAATACTAGACCCTTTTCTGGCTGTGAGGGAGTACGTTCTTGGAGGTAATATCATCAGACTCAATGATAGTTCAGGTAATAAGCACGTTCACCCATATTGTTTTCAACTTACAGTAAACAGTACATTTACATGAACAAACCTGGTCATCTGCAATTGCTTTAGCAAAGCGAGCACAGTCCAGCTGCAGGTAGATGTCCGTCAGCTGATCTAAAAGCTTCTTGGGCTCAAAGCCGTACTTCTCTGGGTTTTCCACCTTCAGGTCACGGCACTTGGGTCCACACAGTTGCTGGAGGTTAAAGTTCAGCATTGCTGCTAAACGAGGCCCCAACTCCTGGATGAATAAATGTCAAAGATTAGCTCAGACTGATCTAATATCTTGATATAATCAGAAATTATTCTGTATATTATTGAATACATTGAGTGAAACTGTGATAATCTTGTAAAGTAGAGAACAGTGAAACTCACAGGCCTGAGGAAAGGCTTCTGGACCTGCTTGGTGAGGATGTGGAACATATCTACTGTCTCTGTGGCCAAGGCCAGATAGGAGCGAGACACCCGCTCGTCCTGGGTGAGCTGGGACTGTCGGCTCTGCTGCTGATCCTAAAGGAATGCAGGAAGTCATAAAAACAACAATTTTCTTCAACACGTCTTCCAGATTGCAAACTCTGTACAAACATGACAGAGGTGAGGATGAGTACGAGTTTAGCTTCTGTTTATTGGTCAAAATGCAAATGCCAGCTTATCAATTGTTTAGCTCATAAGTTATAACTGTACCTTCGTGATTTACAAATGCTTTTCATAATTTTGTATTTTTTGGTCAAAAATATCCTCAATTATTACAATGACCCTAGATTAGAATAATCCTAGAAGAGTAAAACCATTTAAACCTCAGCACTGACCCTGGGTAACTGCTCCCACTGCTCCTTATTTTTCATCTCCTCTTGAACTTCATGAATTCGCTTTAGTGACTCCAGACTCTCGTCTAACAAGAAGGTGGTGTCATTTATCAGCATGTTGATGTAGCGAACAAACTGTTTGCCAGAGCTGTAGAAAGAATACAGTAGAATAAAAACTTAAAATAGTAGGTGAACAAATAAAAATCAACCATTCAGTGGGAATACAGCCAGCTTACTACTTTGATATTTGACACTCACTTAAATTCCTCCAAGAATGTTCCATGGTGGGCAATGTTCTGCCACAGGCTTTTGAAGATGGTGCTGATATGATATCGTATAGTGAATTTATCATAGAACTCGCTGGTGGCTCCAGTGTGCTCAACATCTGACCAGAGAGGAAAGGTTTGGAGTGTGAGAACACTGGCAATAGTGTGGGAAAAATGCCTTGTTGTTACAAAAAAAAGACGTTGGATACAGATAAAACCTCCAGCACTCACCTGTGTAGAACTTCATAAGGGCAGGGACCAGCTGTTTGATAGACAACGGGTGGTTCTCCATCATTTCAGAAAATTGCTGAGTACGTAACTGCACAGCAGGGTTTGTGACAAACAGCACCTCCACCAACTTGGCTATAAGATAGGGGTTCCTGATGTAATTCTGGCTGCAGATGAACACCACCAAGAAGGTGACAATGTCCTGCACACATGGCTCATATAAAACCTGGGGAGAATACCTGAGAAGAAAAATAGAAAAACTTTAGAAAGATGAAACAAACAGGACCAGAATCTTTGTAATGAATACAAGACATAATGTATCCCTGAGTATTTTACTACTGTATCAAACCTTGATCATTTCAATATCCAGAAGCCATTGTTTAGTTACTTTATGCAACTATTGTGACAAATTCAATAAAATAACCATGAACTTACTGCACAACAAAAAGCAGAAACTCAGCCACATCTTCAATGTAAAACTCCGGAAGAGCAGCAAAGCTTTTGGGAATCTCAGGGTTTAGTGGCAGGGTAATGCTGCGTGATAGATAAAGAAGATGGTGTGAGATTCATACAGAGAAAAAACTGCATGGAGGACAGCAAGTGGTGCAGGACAGAAGCCATCCACATTAAACACAGTGGCTACATTTACAGTACAGTCACAGGAACATAATCAGTCAGTGGTGCAGGCTCACTTTGGGTAGGCCGGATCCACCATGCGGAGGAGGAGCTGGATGACCGTGCTGTAGAACTGCAGACATCTGCGGAGCAGGTTCTCATCCAGAAGGCCGACGTCAGCACAAGCTTTGGCTCGCACGAGTTTCTGACATGACACAGCCACACACAGTGAGAGCAAGTCTCAACTCTCTTTCAAACACAAATTAATGAACAGCAAGTGAGTGGGTGAATACACCTTCAAAGTCGTTAATGTACCTTGAGCTGGGTTTTGCAACGTTTCAGCATCTCTCTATGTCTACTGGCCAGAGGAGAATCCTTCCATTGGCCTTCACTGTTCTTCAGCTCCTCTACAGTCCTGAACGGGTATGTGCAACAATATTAGGAATATGTATGTGTCTGTGTGAAAAAAAAATGTGTGCGTTTGTACCTGTTAAGTTCACGGATGGCTCGCAACCTACGGATGTAGCGCCTGCAGCAAGGCAGAATGGACAAATGGTGTGTGTGTAACGTCAAGAAGAAACACTCTGTTGGGAACTTGGGTTCTGAGAACTTGGACGGATCTTCATCTGTTTGTGAGAGAAAATTAAATTTACAGATGTAAGTACACCAATTAATTAAATCAACCTGCCACACGTTTGGACATAAATCTGACGTTCACCTCTTAAACACCTTTGTGGTGGTTTTTAAAAACAGCACTATGTTGCAAAACGTAGATGACAGTCAATGACAGTCACTGGATTGATTACGAAAAAAGAAATATCACCAATCTGGTCTGTTGATGAATCACAGTGAGCTGATAAATATGCAAATAGATGCGTGATGTGAAACCCACAGATGAATCAAAATGACAGTAATGTGCCGTTTGTCAAGCTGCATTACTGAAATACAACCACAGCAGCAGGTTTGAAATTAAAAAATATTGTATTACATAAACCTTTATTAAATCCTGTATGTTCATTGAACGCAACTTACGTAGTTCAGATAGCCAGCTCTTCAGCTCCTCCATCGTTGCCTTCAAACGTGTCTCCTCAACGCTGACAGCAAGGCGACAGCGTGGGTGGAAAATGTAATAAGGGTCCACAGTCTCCAGCTTGATCTTCATGCTCAGCTGCTGCAGCACCCGTAAGAAGTTCAGCATGAAGCCGTCTGTGGACACCAGTTTGTCATCCGTCTACAGATAAAAGTCAAGTCAAACAAAAAAAGTTAAATTTGGAACATGTAAATTGAATGTCATGCATGAGTTTTTTGCCTATGAAATGACAAGACTGTCAGTCTTTTTGCCCTAAAAAAACTTTTGCGTTACATGTCAACGTTCCAAGTATTTGCTTAATGTTATAGGCAAGCATTTTCTAGGAAGTCAAGCACCTCCAGCTTTCTTTTTACAATATAACAAAAGCGAATTTTAGTGTAATAGTGATAAATAAATTTACACACAAAGAAAAATGACAAAACTTAAGGTATTTATCATCAACAGAAAAAACATTAACATACATCACAATTAATTATTTTTAGTCTTACATTTACCATCTATAATCATGTCCTGCTCAGGTGACTCACCTGCATCTGAGCTTTCTTCACATTGTAGTTGACTAAAGCTGCCATGTAATTAAGAGCCAAGTCTCGCGTCTCTGCCTCGCGGCTCTCCATGCAGCAGGATATTGTGGAGAATTTTAAACAGGTCACCCTAAGAAAACAAGTACAATGAGTAAACCATCCTATTGTCTACTGACAGAACAGCAGTTATTCAGAAAACTTACCCTCGCCAATTCCAGGTAGTGCTGCAACGACTGACTGACAACTCGGGTGTTCTCCATAGTGATGGCAGGGCCAGAGAAATACTTGTCTCCCACTTTACTCTAAACATTTGAATAAAAAAAAACCCAAAACAAAACATAAAAGAGCATTTTAGCTGAAAGTGCATATGTTGTTTTCTGGAGTATAAGTCACATGTTGTTAGTTGTTTGGCTGTTACTAGGGGTTAAATTCCGAAGAGACATATATGAAACAAAAATAATAGCCCATATCACCCACAGCCACAGGAGGGCACCGTTTACACCCTTGACAACTAAACCACCCTACTACACCACTGGAAAAATTACAGGACTAAACCATAAAGACTTACTTCAAAACACAAAGAAATGCAACTAAAATTAATGCTTTCTTCTTCCTCCAAAGGATGAATGGATTTAATAATGCAGAATAACATCAGGTGCTTTTGCGGCTGTTTAAATAAGTAGTCTTTCCATATTAAACCTTTGTTCTTGGATTCATGTGGAATATTTTTTTTTTTAAATGAACTTACATACTGGTGTGACTTGCATCTATTCATTTTAGATGCAACTAATACTTCCACTTGCAATGTATAGTCCAGAAAATATACAAAGAAAAAAAAAACGATTGATTGGACAGATGACTCACATCATCTTCAGCATAAACAGAGAGGCTGAAGAAGGCTCCCAGGTAGGACAGTCTCTGTATCTCCCTGCCAGACCCAGGGCTGAGAGGTTTAGGACACCAGAGAGGCAGTGATATCATCTGTACAAAGGAACAGAAATTCACAATAGAGTTGGGTCAAATTTGAACTTCAGAAAACTATTCCAAAATTATTTAATATTTCTACCCCAACTATTTTTTGTCACAGTGCTATGTAGGCTGCAATTCTATGCCGAGGTCAGCTGGAAATGACGGCATGAGGAAAAAGACAAAGACTCCCAGACAAATTCTTGTCTCAAGGAAAACAAGTGCTGAGCAAAAATAGAAACAATGTTTGAGCTAAATCAATTAGACACTGGACATAATATGATAACATAATAAAACATTGTAATTAATAACATTTATTATCAATAAGTATATTATAATTGATGTACTTACCAAATTACACACTGGATGAGCTTTTCCAAATTTAATTTCACAAAGTTCAGCTAGAGCCTGTGGAAACATCAACACATTTTCATAGACGTTTTGTTTGAATAGAAATGCAGTTTTATGAACAATGTAGCAATATGTCATGTGTGCCCAATTGTAACAAGGTGAGTTGATTATTGTCTAATTATTATTGTGTTCTAGTGGGATTCTAAGCCGTCATTTAAAATCATTTGGGAAGTTAACACCTGCGGTAACACATTGACAGGCTGCCAGGATCTGGCAGCCTGTCAAAGGGTCTGCTGTATGTACATTCCTCTAACTGTTTCTGTACAGTACAACTATCATCGGCTGCAGGATTTTCTTCGAACATGACACTGTTTACTTACCATGAGGGGGAATTTAAAGTTGTCACTGTCGAAAGAACATTCTTTAACTGCAAGACCCAGACCGTGGAGGATAGGAATAAAGATCTGAAAATAAAATGTACAAACTTTATTTGTTCTTTTTGTACCAAAGTGATGCTAATTTCTAAATAAACACGTTTCCAAGTGCTAATTTAACTGACGTTTATTTTACCTGTCTAAAGACCTCCTCCTCCTGGTGGGTAATTCGAACAAGCTCCTGAATAAAACCGTAAGGAAGGTTCCGACACAGCATATAAGGAACCAGCAGCGACTGATGGAGCGGACTTCTACATAAGAAAGAATAAAACATAACGAAATTATATATAAAAAATGGAAGATAGATGGAAGAAAAAGTCTTCTGTTGCTCACCGAGGCTGGGTTAGGGCGCCTTGTAAGACCAGGGCGACATGAGAAATGCACTGAGATCGAATGTTGCTGAGGAGCTGGCTGACATTAGGTTGGCTGCACATCTTGAAGGGGGGAGGTGAAGAAGGGAAAATCAATGTGTGATAGAATGTACCAAATGTCTTTTTTGAATAAAATGCAGCATCAATTCTGTTATTAACTGACTGAAAAAAGTCAGAAACAATGACTAATGTGTATACAACCCCAAAATGACTATTAATAATGATTCATATTCTGGCATTTTTATAAATATCCCGTCATCATCAACTTTCTAAACTATAACATCACTTGTTGCAGCTACCTTGGGAGCTTTCCTCTCCTCCATACCAACACTGTCAAAACGCTCTATGAGGTAGTTCAGCATCTCCGTTTCTTTGCATGTTTCAATGGTGAAGCGGTCGCAGGCTGAGTCGCTGGGCATCACCCCTCCACATGCACCAAGACTGAAAAACAATAACATAAACAACATGTCATAGCTGTTCAAGTAAGGCAAATTAATTTTATAACCAACTGTTAGTGTCAAACATCATCACATCTCACAATTAACAAGCATGAACCAATTCTTGGAGCTCCTGAAAGAAACAAACAGTAAAGCATAGGTGGATGCACTTAAGAATATCAGAAGAATATCAAAACACCTGTAATATTAAACCCTTGAATGCAACAAATTTAACAGATGTATGGCAGTTATGGGATGTTAGTGGTCAGATGGAGCTACTCCGCAGCTACCAAAAGCAGAGACATGACACGTGTATTAACAACAAAAGAAAAACATTCAACAGCATTTCCATGTTATTAAAGCCACGTCAACCTGAGGATTTGAACAAGAGCAATGCCAAAAATGTCAGCATTACAATAAACAATAGTGTTAAAAAACAGGATCCTTGTAAAGTAAGTCTTCTGTCTTGTTAAATGTGTGCAATGGTGTATTTTTACAAATGTACTTTGTTTCAAGAAGGGAAATAAAGACTTACAGCAGATAAAATAGGGATAAAAAAAGCCAGTCTGACATTAGTAGCTAAAAACATTTTAGGAAACAAGAGATTTTTAATCTGTTCCTCCTGCAACACAATATTGATGTTTTTAAGTAACTAACACCATAAAAGAGACTGGATCTGCTTAATGTTTGATGACAAAACAAGTGAAGTACCAAGGCCACTGAGCCTTCATCACTTTATCTCTTGGTGTGTTGTGGACTACTGGTCCCATCATGCCGAGCAAGCATACACACGTTATAACACACCGTGCACCGGTGTACCTGGACCCAAACTGAACCCGAGAAAAATCTTCCTCCTCATCCTCCTCACCCGATTCCTCATCACAGCTGTCCTGAGACGCATCAGGGAGGGCAAAGAACAGGAGCGACAGGGGGCTAACAGGATGTGGAAACAACAGGAGGAAAAGAGGATGTAGTGCAAGAATGAGGAGACAGGAGGGATGTAAAATATAGTACTTGAGAAATGATGTTTAATTATACAGAGTAAGAATAAAAAGTGCAGGAGAGGAGAGCATCAACAAAGAGTTGCCTAAAGGGTTGAGAAAGAACTTATAGTAAAGCAGAACGGTGGCAAGCTATTCTGGTTGCATTACAGAATTTACCATGAAAAAGCTTTTAACATAATTGTTCCTACCCATGCAATATAAATATACAGTGTGTAAGAGCATGCGCAATGAGGGAAGAAGTAAAATTGGCACGTTTGTTTCTTCAACTTCACCTAGTCAGAACTGCAGGATCAGTGCTGCTCTAGGACTGCACCCTGTGTCAGTCAAATAACCTTCTGATTGGCTGTGCTGCCTCTTCGAACCAGAGTACACCCTACATCCTACACCTTCACTAAAAGTCAGACCTTTTTCAAAAAGTAAATGAGTACTGGATTTCTCCTTAAACTGTAAAGCACATTAATTAAACAACACAGCAACATTTGTTGTTTAGTAGAGTTAGTCTCCTTGCATGTGCACCACACATAGGATCACACCATTAAATACCTAGACGGTGGGATCCTTGAGCCGAAAGACCTTTGTTGAGTGTGAGACCTGGGAGAAGGGGGGGCAATGGGGGAGGATGTGGAAAGGGGCAGGTTGTGGGCTGCAGAGGAGCTTAAGGGGAGGGGCAGAGTGCTCGGTGGTGGCAAGGTTGGAACTGGTGTATTGGGTGGAACAGAGGGCTCAGCCGGGCTGAGTGGGGGCTCAAAGAAGCCAACTCCTCTGTTGCTCCAGCTGGATGGGGAAGGAGCCCCCCAGGAGGAGTTAATGGAGTAGGGTCGATATCTCTGGGTAATGGGCAGGGGAGCAGAGGGAGGGTTGAGGGGGTGTCTTGAAACAGATGTAATGGGTGGGCTGGGGGGAACAACAAACTGTGGGACGGAGGATGTGGAGGGGACCGCGGGCATAGAAGGGGTGGAGAAAGATGAAGACATCCTCCTGGCTGCATCCATAGACAAAGGGTGAGGACTACCACACCCATACAGACTGTAGACAACATTCATGGGATGAATAACAATAAAACAGTAAAACAATGATGACCAAAGCAGAATTGTAAAAGACTGATAACAGACATCTCAACAGAGTGGATGACCAGTATTGCAGAGTTCTGCCCACTTTACGGCTAGGACCTTCTCAAGACACTTGCCTGGACAGAGAGCTGGCACCAAAAGACCCTGCACCGGGGCCCATGGGACTTCCACCAAGACTGGAGGGCTGCACCAGTGTCAGACGGTGGTCAGGGGATTTGGCGGCTGCAATTGGCTGAGAGGTGGCGGTCAAGCTGGCAAAAGGGTTGTGGATCCGTGACTGGGAGGACATCATTAAAACTTCCATCAGGATCTGGCCAATAAGGTCCTTAAAATCAGAGTACGCTACAGGGGAAGAAGAGAAAAAAGTTTGTAAAGAACAAGAATTAGTCAGTTTATCGTAGGATATTATAACACCACTTCAGACGATGACAATGATGATGGTAATAAGTACCGTCTTTAGGATTATGGTGGAACTCAGCAGCCAGTGAAGGCAGAAAGATGACATCTCTATCCAGATCCTTCCACGATACGCGGAGGATTTTACAAATGAGCTGCAGAGCCTGCTCTTCAGAGACGTCTGAGTTTGCAGACGTTTCCTGAGAAACAGAAAAACAGCAGGAGCTTGATCAGACATGAAAGCCATTTACAGATTAAGTGTTAAAAGATTTAATATAATAATGACACTTGTTATCTTGTCATCTGACCTACAAAAAGCAGGTACACGTTTGGAATGGATATAAATAGCATGTGTGGAAAGTACCTAATTATGTTTGGTAAACACCAAAAGACTGACAGTTTTTAAAGACCCTACTTGATAAAAGATGGTAATGTGAGGGATGTTCTGAGCTGTTTACCTTTTCACTCAAATTCCTTTTTTCCCTGCGGTCACTGTCTTCCACCTCCATGTTCTCTATCCCTGAGTCCACATCCACCTGGGACATGCTGGAATGAGACAAAAAAAAGAGTGCATGTATAACACATTTCTCCATAATCAGACCAGGCCTTGCTAACACCCAAAGTCCGCTGATCCAGAATCAGTGACACATTAGCCATGCCGCTTTTATAATAATTACTGTGGCGTTATACAACAATCAGGTACAGCCAGTTGTTCTTGTAGCACAAGATATTAGTTATTTTGAAGCTGTAAAACCCAAATAAGAGAGCGTGAGAGAGAGCTTTTGCAGGGAAACAGAGAGAAAGATAACATGTTACTACACTATGGTAAAATATTAATAACAACGACAACTGGAAGGACCAAAGTCTCCCTATGAAGAATATTATGGTCATTACAAGCCACATATGTCATGTAGGTTATGCCACATATCTGTTGCGTGTTTGTGGGTCAGTAGGCAATGGTTTCATGTTAGTCACATGTTTCTGGGGAAAACCCCTTGTAGAGTCACACTTTTTACTGTCGCTTGACAAGACTAACACAGATTTTACCTCTTTTCACAGGAGGCAGTGTCGATGTCCATGCTCTGAGATCGGGACAAACTCTGGGACTGAGTCTCAAGGCTGTTGGAGGGGGAGCTGGAGAGGGAGCTGACACCCTCACTGCTCTGACTACCATAGGCCACTCCTGCAGGAACATAAGACCACAACTGAGCACTTCCACAGTTAAAGCAGACATCTTCATTTCGTAAAAATCTTAAATTTAAACATGCCATGCAAGCAGCAACAGTGGTATTAAAAGAATACCCTAAGGTTTGAATGCAGGAGTGATAGTAGCTATTTATTTAGTCCAAACAGTGAAATATTTTGTGTCAAAATACTTTTGTTTAAAATAGGCTGCTCCCAAAACCTGATAGATCAGCACTCAGAGACTATACTATCATAGCTGTTAAAATGAGTGATTCCAAAAATGTGTACATGTTTATCAGCTCTTACCAGAGGTGCCCATGGGGGATGTGGCTGGGGTTCCACTGTGGACATTCAGCCCCAGTGACTGGGAGGCAGCTGGTGGCAGGGGCTGGGGTGTGGCAGCTGAGGGTCCAAGGAGGGGTCCAGGTGGGTTTTCTCTCTGTGGGGAGGTCAGGGGCGTGCTGAGAGGGGTGCAGGGCTGTGACGTCTGTCCACCTGCCAGTCGTGCAAGACGCCTTCTGCGAATCTTGAATGAGTACATCAGAAAATAATTTACTAATTTGAATAAGAGATTTATTAGAAGCTGAATACATAGTGATGAAGATGATTGGTGATCAAAGCTACAATTTGTGTGAATCAAGTAGATCTGGAAAGGTACAAAGGTGTTATCAATTTGTTAAAAAAACTTGGTATTTGGTATTTAAGCATATGATTTTGAAAATATACTGAAAACAAGGAGCAGGTATGTTGGACAGAGGATGCTGAGCTAAGAGGTAGAAGGAAAAGAGTGCAGAGAAACTGCTAAATGTAGAAAAGAAAGACATGATCTCTGGCTTCTTTTTCCAGAAATGAGCACACATCTAATTTTATTCTGAAAAGTTACAAATAGTTATTTAAATATTTATATGGTCTTCTGTCACAGTAACACCAGAGGAAACAAGATATATTGTGAAATGAGGGCAGATAATCTCTTGGACCCCTGAAGTCTGAAGAACAAGTCAGGTCTGTAAAGACAGCAGACCCGGAGACATCATGTGCTGTAGGAATGTTTGAAAAACAAAGCAAAGATTTTTAAAAACATACTCAACTTTGGAGACTTTTTATAATCAGTTTCTTTCTCCAAGTTCACAGGAAGAAGGAAGACAAGACATTTGTTACAACAATAACTGACTCATTATAATGCATGTAACAGATGGTAAAATGTTTTTTTATATTGCCCCATGGTTAATGATTGGCATGTGATAAACATGGCTCTGTGTGATAACAAATTTCACTGACATCACCGATAAATATAAATCCACACTAACTACCAATACTACTACTGTCTAACAGTATCGCAGCAATTAATTATCATCTTATTTCACTATTTCCAATAGTTATGTAAACACTTTATTGGATTACTGTCGTTAATGCGTTTGTCGTGCCTAATTTAGGTGTCAGTTTTTGTAAAAAAAAAAAAAAAAAAGACAACCATCTATTTAAGGCAAAATTAAATAATTTCGGATGATTCTTTCTGGAAATAGTTCATATAAATCACTTTCCAGTGGCATTACTGAGCAGTTGTAATATAACCTACGATATGAGGACTGGTCGTCTAATGTCAGCAGAGAAGCAATGCGATTACAGTAAATCAAACTATATGCCGGTGTGTTGAGCAGCTAAATACAGATACATGGCTGCTAAGAGGACACGGTGTGAATGTTCACGGTGGGTCAAGGCAAACAGAACGGCGATGGCTTATGTCCGACCACAGTTCATTGCACAATGGTGGCCCAGAGTGTGTGTGTTTTTTTTATGCTGAGTCGTCTCGGGGTCCTTTTTGACTGTTAGCAAAACATCGTTAGCAACTTACTGCTAGCAAGGGTAGATTTGTATTTTTGAGCCGAGGGGGACATTTAATTAAATGTGTTAAAACATAAATTGGTGTTATCTAGAAAAGTGTTTTTACTTCCTTATTTTCAATCTCTGCAACTTTAAACACAGACGCAACAATATTGAAAGACAATCTTTGCAATTATGTTAACCATTTAGCATTGTGCTTCTCCGGCTACAACAAATAAGCAGCTCTGACACACACACACACATTCAGGTTTAAGTTCATTCAAAAATGTTGTCTCTTGTAATTATACACGTCATTGATTACGTTGTCACAAAAACGCTTGTTTCCGAAGAGATATAATAAAAACATTTTCTTTCGGGGATACGTTTTTTACATTTGATTGAGCTAGCTCCAATAGCATTTCGGCTAACAGCACACAATGCACAAAAAGTAAGAATTAAAGAATTGTCAAACCTAAATGCAAACCGATTTATTTTATTTTCATAGTAGCAGTTCCTATTTAAATAGTTTTAGACTCAAATCTCACCTCGTCGGCGCTTAGTTCCTCCATCGCCGCTGCTGTATTAGCTCGCTGTGTCACTCTCAATTGGTTTCACTGTGTGTTAGGCAGCCAGAGCCAGCTAGCCAGCCTTCGGTGGAACTAAATATGCATAGTCCACAAGTCGGTGAAACGAATATGTGTCAGTACTGATTGTCTGCGAGATTAAAAAAAAGAAACCGGTAAGAGAAGGCTGGTGACATACGGCTCCCCCGAAAAGTCTCTCGTTTTCCGGTTTTCTTCCCCAAAGGAAACAAAAAGAAAAAGTAGGGCTGTCTTTTATGCGTTAAAATACAACAACGGCCATTTTGGTTGTACGGAAGGTCACGTGACCGTGGAGTACACAGAGGATGGGAGGAGATGTGCAAATATCTATAGCACTAGGCCAGGTTTTCCTTTCTTTTGGGTTTTTGTTGTTTTGTTGTTTTGCTTTTTGCTATTGCTTTATATGAACCAGGCTAAAAGTTTAAGAAAATTATTTTATTTCAGAAAGTAACACCTGAAGCTGATCATTCGTTCCTTTTAACATTAGTCCTTATCACACCTTGTACTCAGTTCTGTTCAGAGTTGTAGAGATGATCACCAGTAACCACCAAAGATCAAACCTCTGACCTCGAACACTAACCCCTCTCCTAATGACCCCCATATAACAAATACAAATAACCGAAATTGATCAAATTTGTTCTAAACCTCATTTATTACACAGCATTTTAAAAAAAAATCACAATTATACATTCTGATTCCACATTGACTTACAAAATGAATAAAAACCACGTTTACAAAAGCACATACACCAAAGTCTCAATGATCCTACCGGCTAATATGTATAATAATAATAATAATAATAATAATAATAATAATAATAATAATAATAATAATAATAATAATAATAATAATAATAATAATAATAATAATAATAATAATAATAATAATAATAATAACAATAATAATAATATGAAATAAAAGTAATTATCTCACAGAGCCTGGTTTTACACGTGTATTTTCAGCCAGCTGAAAACAATGACACGAATATTTAGTCCTTTACATGTTGTTTTGAATATTTACCTGATAAAAGTGATGCACAGGCGCCATCTACTGGGGAGAATCCAAACTTTCTCTTCTGAACGAACCCATAACTGAAGACATTTGTGACAGTTTTACTGCTCAGGTTTAAAACACAGAATGTAAATCATCAGCCTCTCTTCATTCGGCCACATTCTTCTTAAAAACCTGCCTGCAGACTTCTCCTTCACAGTACAACTCCTGTGGGAGGAAGAACATAAAATACCATGGGATACTTTACAAAAATACAAAACTGAAAAAGGAAAAAACGTTTTAATAATGACTTATTGTCATCCTCACCAGATGCAGTTTGTTGTCTTCAATCCAATGAGTCCAGCCGCGGTTTTTCTTCTCTCCGGTCTGTTCACACACTAGTTTGTTGCCCTCCCACGTCACCACCGTCTACACAGATTACCCAGAGACAGTCGTCAGTAAAAGGTCAAACCATCTGCACCATCCAGCAGACATCTACAGTCCCACTGTTACCAATGCATCTCTGCTCCGTCCTTCTCACCTTTACGTGTCTGCCGTCCAGTCCCCAAGTGAACTCCTCAAACTCTTGACCCACTCTGAAGGTGAGATTGTAATTTCGGAAGGAGCTGATCGTTTTGATGATGTACTGGTCTCCCTGCTGCTCAATCACCTTCCGCATCTTCACCCTTACAGCAATCTTCCGTAAAAACGGGCCAATGCCTGAAATGACAGTGCAGCCTTTAAAAACTAACAAACCTAACCCAGGGCTAAGACATGTTTTCTCACACATACTAAAAATAGAATCAGTGTCATTACACAGGTGCACACCCAGTTTCTCCCACACTTGCAGGATAATTGATTTAGAGTTGTGCAGTATCTGCACAACTCTAAATCAATTATCTGTAAAGGATTAGAATAGACACCACATTTATGAACAGCCACTACATGCTAACGTTTCTACACATCGTGAACCAGAATCATCAGTCACACATTTTAACCTTTTTATAAGACTTGCATAAAAAATCCAAACACAAATTTAAATGATTTACTTACCCAGTGCTATCATGTAACCCTCAAGGTTGACATTGCTGATGATGTCCCAGGTGCCACACAGACTGGCAGGCATTTTGACTCCCCAGCTTTAACCCTGGTGTGAATCAAAGTTCCACTGCACTGATGAGGTTTGACAGCAATACTGTGAGGGAGCTGGAGGCAGTCCGTCAGGTGTGCTCTCCTCCTCATTGACTGTCAGGTGATGTTCAGGGCGGAGCTTACATCAGTGAAGAGGACGTCACACACGTCGGACTGGTTCCACAGCACAGATGTGAAATACGTCGTCCAAAGCTTTTCCTTCAATTTTACGTTTAATGGAACACACACACACACTATTTATTTTGTGAGCATTTCACAGAGAAAACAGGCATTCTCTGGCACCTTTGTCCTTACTGTTACAAAACTATACCCAAACCTATCTCCAAATCTGACCCTTCATCTAATCCTAACCACAAAATAAATCTAAAACCTTAGAAATGCCTTCACTCAGTTGGGTCAGTTCAAAATTCCCCCTCAACAGTATTAAAAATAAAATGTCCTCACAAGTATATGTTTACCAGGAATACATGCAAACACACACATCCAGGAAGGAAGGAAAGAATCCAGACAGTACAGACACACATACCTGAGCTGTCTAACCTATTAATGAAGGCTTCTTTCCCACAAGCGGTGTTTCTTATAGAACATTTCCTTTTCTTCCTTTCTTCTTCACACCACACAACAATTACTAAAATATAGAGCAGTAATAAAACTCAAACTAAATGCTATATTACTAAAATGTTTTTTTAAAACATGATACCCAATGGATTTTTAAAAACAGTATTAGGAACACACTAGCATTAATGAACAAGAATATTTTTTTTACTTTACATACAGAAATAAAAAATATGACTGCAGTCATAATGTATAGCCCCTCTTGGCCTTAGAGAAATTTGCCCTTGTTTGATGAACTGTGGAGCGGAACCCATATGGTTGCCATTATTCAGTCCACTTTGTCCTCACACATTTATAACCATTACTTATATTATTACTATTAATTATACAGCTGACCTTTCTATACAAGGTAAAATATGTGTGCAGTGTTACTCCTATTTGAGAGGAAAATAATACATGGACCTCATCCAACTTTGATGCAGTTGCTGTCTTTATTATTTAACCTTTGCAGCTGTGGGGTGGGTCAACACACACACACAAACACACTAAACAAGTCTGGTGTGTTTTCATGCCAAGACTCTAAATCATCAGCAGCTGACTGAGCAGAGAAATCACAACATGGCTTAAGTTGCAGAGAGAGTCGAGTTGTAACGCTAGTGACAATCCATTTGACTGATAGGAATATTTTAATAATTCCTTGTAACATACGTTACGTTACGATACGTTGTTGTTAATGATGATTAACTTCCATGAAGTGATGGAATCACTTGCGGTTTCTCCTGAAAACACTGAGGCTGCACTTTGTTCTTTCTGTTATTACATAAGAGTGAATGTGATGACAATCTGCGTTCTTATCAAAATGCCAGGTGTCAATGTGACGCCTCACATTTACTAAGTATTTTAAGTTTCGCACCTGTGGAACAGCATGACCACAGCAACGAAGGGCTTAGAAAATACAGGACAAAGACAAAAGTTTCTTTCAATCAAGTGCATTTCACATTTATTTTCAGGTTTCCAGCAGGAAGAAAAAATGTTGATTTTTGTTGTTTTCTTCTCTCAATATATAAAAGCCAAAGACAGGAGCAAGTGAAATATTCTTCTAAAACATATAAAAAGATCAAGTACAGTTTTTATATCACATTTTATAACATTAAAAAGTCACGTGTGCATCATTCAGTTGTATTTTTATTTTATCTGTAATTTCTGCTTTTCTGTGATAAGAACATGGTGAACATCTAGATACTAGGGTAAAAATATGTTTGTAAAATGTTGATAACTTATAGTACTAGGGTAAAAAGATGTTTGTAAAATGTTGATAACTTATAGAGGGGCAATGTAAATTGACTGGTTGAAAAAACACTAGCAGGTGCACATGTGACTGAGACGTTAAAGCTTGCACACCAAGAGACTAATTATGAAAAGTGTGTGACAACGTTCATACTACAACATGGTGTAAGTCCAAAACTCTTAACAGTGTAAAAACATCCTGCACCCAAATACGTCATACAAATCAGTTAACGTCGAAACAAAACGACGCTAACGACGAGATGCTAAAAATAAAAACCTTAGCCTAATTGAAATTTCTCAAACATATTGAGAGAGGATATTTCAGTTAGTCTATCCTTTCAAACAGAGTTATTATGTTTATAGATCACTTATAGATTAATCACCTCAAACTGGCCGTAGAAACACACAGTCCTTTAAACTACAGCCATGTATCAAATTCCCATGGATCAAAAAGTGTTAAAATGTGGACCTTGGTAAATCTAAAGACAGAGCATGCAGCAGTGGAGGATTTTTACAGATGCTCTGCCACGACATTTGTTTTTTACGTTTGCTTTTGTTTTTAAGTTAATTTTAAGTTTTTAACTTGAGTGCTTACCGGCGAGGAAAAAGAACTGCGACTACATTGCAAAATGTAAATCATTTTGTAAATCAAAACAAGAAAAAATAAGGAAACTCTCTCTGAGCACAGTCGGCTATAAAGTGTGTAAATAAGTCTTCAAAAGTGAATTTACGACTCAACAACTTACGACTTACAAAACAGTAAAGTTCATTTCTTGGCTGTTGATAAAACTAGCAGCTACTTTCTTCTATGCAAACTCTGATTCATAACTGGCAGAGAGAGTCGTGTCCAAGCAATGAAACTAACAAAGCAAAAATAAAGTTTTTTTGGCAAACCTAAAGTTGTTGAACCAGGCTCGGATGAGTACGTAGTGTGTGGTCTGACCTCAGCATGAAATTATTCTATGTCTTTTAATCTGTGTTTGCATATGTACTTCACACATTTTCTAAGACACGTTATATGATGAGACAAGGCAGCGTTGGAACTACGATTGATGTAAATCCAGCCCTGAGTGTTAACAGCTCACACCTCAGCTCAACGAGGCACCAGAATTAATCTGAAGAGGAGCTAAAACCACGTCAGCATTCTTATTCTCACTCTCTGAGCTGTAGAGGTTGTGCTCCTGAACGTAGCTTAACACGGGATCTGGGACCAGGTACTTGACACTCTGACCACGGCGAAGGGCCCGGCGCACATGTGTAGCAGAGATGTCATTGGTTACCCACTCATGGACCACATGGATTTTTCGGCACAGCTTCCACAGCACGTCTGTTTGGTAGATGAACTTGTGGATGTTGTTGCCACTGCGGGTGATGCAGACCACACCGTAGCGACCCACAATCTCTACGATGTCTTCCGGCTTCCACAGATTGGGGATCCCGAAAGATTCAAGAACGTCAGCCCCACACAGCATCATCACCTGTGGAACGACTGAGGGCAGAGAAAAACGATCATTGTTGTGACATGACCACATGAGGGGAATATAATTTAATGTCTTTTTTTTATAAAATTATAGAAATGATAAAAAACATATTCTTATAAGAAAGAGCAGAAGAGGAAGAAGAGAACAAGAAAGAAGAAGAGGAGGAAGAGGAAGACGACAAAGAAGAAGAACACGAAGACTGAGAAGAAAAATGTGCTGCTTCCTGGTCTGATATGTTATCAAATGATTTTTTTCCATATGAAATTATTTCCTGGAATGCACAGAAAAATGTAATTTTCCAAGTGTTCAATGTACAATGAAAGCTGAAAGACATGTTTGACAAAGAACTGAGAGCTGAGTTTCTGACTGTCATTTATACCGAGGTTCTGACCTCTCTGTAGCTGTGGTGACGATGAAAGACGACTCCTGCTTACGCGTCTCTTTTTGCCGTACTTATCCAAGTCCACCTCGTCACCTTTCTTTCCCACAGCACGCAGTTCCTCAGAGTGATGCCTAAGAAATGTGGAAATGAAAAAATACATTGTTATTTAAATTGACTTGCTCCTTTGAATGTTTCCAAACTGTGTCATAAAATGTTTTAACATAACACATCATATTTTGCATTTGCTCTTGGGCAGCATCTTAAAAAAGTTAAAAATAAAAGGTTAAAGGTGTCAACACAGACATGAAGACAAAAAGAAGACAAGTACACCACCTGCAGGTAAACTCTAATTATTGAATGAGTAAATACAAACTTTGACTCTCCAGTGTTACTGATAAAATAGAACAGAGACAAAATGACCACAATTGACACCATCAACATGTGAGGGTTTCAAATGAACTTACCTGAGAACTTTTACCGTTTCCAACCACTGTGGCTGATCAATCTCCCATGAGTTCACAGTGATCCAGTCTGAGCTCTCTGTGGCCAGTCTGGCCATCTCCAGACGATGGGTAGCCTCAATCAACCCTTTCTTCTTGTAGCTGTCGCCCACAGGAGAGATTATTCCCTTTACCACCGTGTACTGACCTTAGGCAGAAATCAAATGAGTGTAAGTTTTTTTTTATTACACATATTTCTGTGATGTATACTTCTGTCTTTCTCTCCATTCTGCAGATGGAGCAAGATAACGGATGGATTTGAATGGAAATCCATCTCTAATTCGGAGACATCTAAAATGTCATAAAACACACATAAAGCATTTTAGTTTTACTCAACCTGAGCCTTCCAGATGATCTCGAGCCAGTTCAAACATCCTCAGGTGCATGTTGGTAATGGGGTTGAAGGAGCCGCAGGACAGCAGGACCACTGGGGTTTTATTATGAGCCTCCATACCTGATTCTACTGCTGGATTTACACTACAGTCAAACATATGGTGGGAGAAAAAAATAGTGTGCCCTGAGTTAATAGGGCATTGTTAATAGTACCTGTTGATAACATGGTCAACCAATTGCATGAAATATTGTAAAATGACCTGTTCCGTGTAGCTCTCACTCTGGAAAAGTTCATTTCTCTTTTAAATTAAACTCAGCTTAATAAACAAGCACATTTTTTTGAGAATTTGGTAGTGCCCAGATTGATTGATGAGATTTGCGCCTATGTCCCTCTTTGATAATTAAATGTGAAGCTTAACGACAGGTATCATATACATGTTAAATGTTACACTCACGAAAACAAACTCTTATTATTTATCCTTCCTTCAGGCAAACTGTTTCTACATTGCTTCATTGTTTAAGTAAACATAAATGCTGGTGTAGTACACGCTCCAAGTGCTAGGAGGAAGTATTGTACACAGAATTGCACACCGCCGGAAGTTGACTAACTGAACGAATATCTGTCCAGACCACATTTTAAACGTTCGTTTAAAAAAACATAACCGACAAAACTGACTAAATTTCGCTCAAATTCAAATTCACGAATAATAAAACAAACATGGAAACGTATAACTCATTGATCCCGCCCTATTTACATTTCGTTATTGATAACATGGCAGCCCACTGTGACAGAGTAAGTTGTTTCTTTTGCAGCGTGTCAAAAATACTTACATAATAAAGTCACCACATACACTTGTCTACAACACCTTCAGTCGCCTGATAAATGTTTTTAGCGATAAGCAAAATGTGAACTGATCCTACTCCACCAAAGTCTATAAATATCTTAAGGGAAGTTAACCCTTCAATGTCTTCACAATTTAATTATGTCACGGTTTATCCTCAGTTTGACTTCTTCGTTTATTGTATTTACCTTTAGGTGACGAGAACTTACTTAAAATGCAGCAGCTCCTCCTGGTTAAAACTCTTTCTGTCCTACACTATGGCCTTAAGATAAATACCCTCTATCCTGACAGCTGTCCCTCCAACCACTGACATCTAAAGGTACCTTTTTTTCCCCTCCCTGCCTATGGGAACTCGCTACAACCGCGACAAAAACTCCCCTCCAACCACTGACATCTAAAGGTACCTTTTTTTCCCCTCCCTGCCTTTGGGAACTCGCTACAACAGCCACAAAAACTCAACTTACATTACACACTCAATTAGTTATTCCTTTAAATCTCGTTACTATTAGCATTTTAACTACACAAGTACTAGTGTGTCCAAAAGACTTGGTCGGAAACCAACAGCTGGAAAGTAGCAAACATGGACCTTTGTCAAATGACTGTGTCAGTGTCAGCTGAAGTATTAAGTTTGTCTGCTAAAATGTACAGATGACACTAAAAGAGTCGTTTCTGCCAGTCTTTAATATTTTACATTGTTGCTTTGTTGCTCCGGACAGCAGCCACCGCCATGCATTTGCGAAACCACTGTTGGTACTATATCAATACACATAATACAACAAGCAACAGAATAAAAAGGCTAAAAAAAACTAATGCAAGTAAATGTGAAGGAATGTGTTTTTCTGAACATACAAAAAATAAAACAAAAATAAAACAGTAAATAGTCATATTTTAAAATAACAGATTCACGATACCATTCAGACGTCCTCCAGCTTTTCGTAACGTCGAATACGTCGAAGTATCCTCCGATTGGTCAGGCCGACCAGAAAACGTCATACGTCACGTACGAGCCACACCCACGTCAGTGAGCTGCATTCACTGTCACAAACAACAGTACAAACCTGAAAAAGTGTTTGGGATTCGAGCTCCAGAACCATGAATTGGTTGCGGACATAATTGATATCCAAATACCAACTTTGTTGTTAAAGCTTATGAGAAGAAATAATCGTCACCGTGCAGATTTATCGATAACCGGTGAGTGCATTTCTGTTAGCGCGTGGCTAACTGTAGACGCTACGTAAAGGTAACAGCCACATCAGTGCTAAAAATGGTTATTTTATTGCAAAATATTAAACGCGCTCTTTGTATACGACTCGCCTTAACATCTATTTTTGCCTGACATGATCATGGCCCAATTATATAGTTTTCCAGGTTCATGTTGACTGGACTCGATTTAGAACCTGTCGAAGTGAAGAGGTTTCAGGCCCATAGTATGTAGTACAACTTAAGGACTCCAGAACTACGCCCTTCAACCATGCCTTCATCTTATCAAGAGCCACGGCATGAAAAATCTCAACAATCACAAAAAAGTTCTAATCACAACAGCGTCCTGTGGTTGTCTGTGAATTCCCTTTTGCTTTACTATAATGTTTACTACATCTAACAGGACAGAATGGCTTCCCGTGGGAACTTAGAAACAGGGAAACTAAGGCAGAATATGGAAGAGCAGCTCGATAGACTGATGCAGCAGCTTCAGGATCTGGAGGAATGCAGGTGTAGTGATAAAGGATGATTTGATTCACCACGGACTCAGTCAAAAACAATGACCTGACAGGTGTCACAACATTACATATGTGTGTCAACGTTTCTCTTGTTTTTCAAGAGAGGAGCTGGATGAGGAAGAGTATGAAGAAACAAAGAAAGAAACCCTGGAGCAGCTGAGTGAATTTAATGACTCTCTGAAGAAGATCTTGAAAGGAGACATGACGCTGGTTGATGAACTCGGAGGGATGCAGCTGGTACGACAGTGTGATACAGCTATGTAGTAAAGGAGATGCATTTTCTCTGATAATTGGTTAAAACAAGACTGACAAATGGTTCTTCAGAGCAAATCAAAACTCAGCATTTGCTTCTTTGTCAGGCCATCCAGGCTGCCATCAGCCAGGCATTCAAAACACCAGAGGTGATCCGTCTGTTTGCTAAGAAGCAGCCAGGTCAGCTGAGGACAAGACTGGCTGAGGTCTGTGCAGCAGCGCCGGCAACAAAAAGCACAAGTTTGAATTAACTTCTCATTCATTTCCTTGTCCTGGAAACTGTTGTTTGATCTACTTGCAGATGGACCGTGATGTCATGGTGGGCAAACTGTCACGTGATGTGTACACACAACAAAAAGTAGAAATTCTCACAGCCTTGAGAAAACTGGGAGAGAAGGTGAGGAATGTGTGCAGCACAGTTTTTCCAACCATTGGTTCACGGATGCTGACTGGTCTGTGACTTCAAGTGTCACTAGTTGCTACAGTACTGTTGATTTGAATGTGTCAGAAGAACATTTTCAATTCATTTCTTGTGTAAGTGACCTTTGCTTTCTTTGTCTTGTCTGGCAGCTTACTGCTGAAGATGAGACTTTTCTCAGTGAGAATGCCACAGCAAGCCTGAGCCAGTTTGAAAAAGTGACTGGAAACATGGGTAAGAAAAAAATACTGATTTCACATAAAATGTACAACTAACATTAATATAAGAGCCACTCATGACAAAATGTCCTTTTTTTCAGGTTCAGAAGACAAAATCATGGCTTTAGCCAGCTCTGGAGTGAAAACCAAGACATAGCCATTTTTACCAAATACTGATTTTCACACTGTTTACACGATTAAGTGTTGTGCCAATTGATGTTAATTTTGTAAACAGCTGTTGCACTTGTGTGTGTGTGTGTTGCTGTGAAAGCTAATACTTTTAAACGACTTGGTTTTATACTTCACACACTTTTTAGTTAATGTCTTATTTGTCCAGATAGTATTGTAAATTGTATTATAATGTAGGTACGAACGCAGGTGTTCTTGTATGTGTGGTTTAAACGGCGCTGTTTAAAGATGCCTGCTTGCTGTGCATGTGCTGTATTTTCTTCAGTCATGTCATTTTAATAAAAGTGTGTCAAGAACATTGCCAACTAAATTCCACATTAAACACTAGGAAATGCAACAAACAACACATGTAATAAAGCATTCATCATTTTAAAATGTAAATAATAATTTTATTATAGTAAATTATATTTTACAGTCTCAAATTATTGAACAAGATTATAACAAAGTGAGATTTACTGCTGTGGTGACAGGAGATGACAAGAATTATCCTCTTTATTTTAGGTTCGATATTTACCAACAAAATAGAATACAAAATGGCTTGTTGTCCATAAAGGTAACATTTAGAATTTAAATTAAACCTTTATGTAGGTTGTTTTACACATAACAATAAGCTGAAGCTTCCATACAGGTAATCTTTCCTAACATTCTATTGTCAACCTGTTTAGTGTCATTTTGACAGTTTGCTGACTTACCATAGCATTTTTGGGCTAACTCTGCAGCTACATTACTGTAATTATCAGATTTTTTCCAGACACTTTGTTTTCATGTGGTTAAAAGAGAGGAAGATCATATGGAGGCCACAGCAGCGTCATGTGAGTCATTCAGTAATACAGTAAAGTGACCACAGGCCTCATTGGTCGCTCAGTCGTGGTCACGTGACAAAGGCAGTTACAGCCTGCATTGGTTACCATCGTCTCAAAACTGCATTATAATACGGGTAGAGCACCAATGTTTTGTTTTTTTCTATTCTTAATTTTTTTATTGTGGGTGTTATAAACTAAATATAAACTAGCTTCGAAGTACAAATGATCAAGTGCATCATTGCTTTACTCTTTAAACTACAGTTTTTGCTAATAAATATCTGGCATTAAATCCACGACTATAGATAAGAAAATGGTCGTATTTACCCATGCAGTGGTGTGCAGTACATGATTTACAGTTCTAACGTTTACCGCTAGAGGGCACGAATGGTTAACATTCTGTGTACTCCAAGGGGCGTGGACCAGGACTGGAAACGATTAATTTTCAAGTTCAAAACCAGAATATTTAACCTCGTGAAAAACCATGTGGTGAATTAAAAGAATAAACAAAAAAACATGTGTTTTTATGTGCTTGCAATTTATTCAGTAACTATAGGGAGGAACAACTCATTTCATTTATATACTTTATTTTGGCCAGAAATGACATCACGAATTCCCACATATTAGGAAATATTAAAGACTAATTTATGTACATTTTGTCATAATGTTGGTTGTCCACAGCCACACAGAGGAGCCGTCTCTCAGTGCTGTTAGGACAGCCTCACTCAGGCATGTCCTGCTGCTGTTAACCACTCATCTTGACAAATCTGTTGTAAATGATGAGGCATTTAAGCGTAAAATGAGGACGGACCAAAAAATACCCATCGCTTCATCCTTTATTTTGTTTGTGAGCAAGCATCAACTTCACTACAATTTGCCCTTCAATTGGTAGAAAAGTGAGAGCAGCTCCAACAAGCACAAAGGAAACATCCAACTGTTCGAAAACAAACAAAACAAAACAAAAAAACAACGTTCATTCCTTAGGCAGAAATTGAAGACGAACAAACAAAATATATTAACATCAGGAGTGTTGTAGACAGTATGAGAATCAGTAGTGAATCATGTCTCCTGTCACACACTCCAAACTCACAATCCCACATTGAACGTACACAAACTTGTAGTTCATGCAAAGTAAATTCCTCCTGCCACATCTTTTGTGTCATTATAGTATGGCTGCATTTCACTTGTTTGGGCAGTGACATTCAATTCATTCAACCAAGACACACTCGGTTGCGGGGCTGAAACTGGACAAAGACGAGTCACTGGATCAGCGACGTCAGTATCACCGTGAACATTAGTGTTTGTGGAAACTAAAGACGTGTGAATTTCATGCTGCCCTCCATAATCACATCCTCACATCTCTTCTAAAGTCACCTTTTACTTTATACAAACAGCTGGGTGAACAGTATACACTCAAAAGCAACGTCATTATGTACTGTGCGCCTTTTAAAGGTGGATTCCGTCAATATGATTTAGCACAATATCTACAGAAGATACAATATGGGTCTAGGTCCTCTACACACTAGCATGAACACGTGACATCTATGTGAAATGTTTGGTGCCGTTAATAAAACTAGCATCCGACTTTAGTTTACAACAAACAAAGGAAAAAAAATAAACCAAGTAATGACTTTAGTTTACAACAAAGGAAAAAAAATAAACCAAGTAATCCCCAGCCCTGTGAGAAATCTAACATTAAAACAAATACAAATAAAAGAACTTATGAAAATAAAACCAACATGGACGAGTGTTACTGTTAGACCTGCTAATTTCACTAGGACTGAAAAAAGGCAAATCTCATCTCAGTCGGCTCACAGCTCCTCTCCTTTTAATCCTCAACTCTTGGCCTTAATAGGAGGGAGACAGTCGTTTTATTTCTATTCTCTAAATAGAAAGAAAAAATCATCATTCAATTTAATACAAAACCCAAATGTTGCTGCACTAAATTTGACCTCCTGAAAACATGTTTGCGCTCAAATATGTAAGTCTGGCACACATTTAATGCAACATTTTACCTGCCATAAACACACACAAAAAAAACATTCAAATGTTTTACGACGGCGTCTGAGTTTGGACACATTTTTCCGTTATTTGCACCAGACCATTAACACCATCACCTGAAGCAAAGGACGTTTACCAGAAGTAAACCGATGGTCTTTGAACAACTCTACAGTACAGTTTCCATGTACGATAAAATCTAGTGGTCAGCTGAAAAGAGAAAAATAAAAATTATTTTAAAGACTGAGGCAGAATCTTTTTATTTAAATGTGTTTCAGCAGACATGACTAGAGTTGAAATTTATTGGAGTACAATAAAGTCGAGGCTTATTTTGCGGCTAGAAAGCTTCTTAAAATGCAAGTGATAAATGTTTTATAATTAGACCATGGAAAAATAAAGTTGCAGGTGATTCTTTAAAAAAAAAAGAAAAACACTCTAGCTTCATATCTCTTCCCAGAAATAAATACCAGCATCTGCACTTTTTCTCCAGAGTCCACTTCAGCTCCTACTCTCTAAAGCTTCTGCAGTTTGTTTTTAATTTTTTTACTTTGTTCGACTCAAATACTGGCAAAACACATTTTAAAGCTGCTAAAGAAACGTCTCAACTCTTCCAATTAAACCGGCCGAAATGTTAGTCACCAATGATCTGCACTACAGAACCTGTTGGTCAAACACACACACAGACAGACAAACACACACACACACAGAAGAGTCAGTTTGTACATGAGGCTTAATGAGGAAAAGAAAAACAATCCCTTCTGTACAACAGTGAGATCTATCTGGGAATGGAATACACGTGGAGTCCAGCGTTCCCGCCTGTGCAAGCAAAGCAAAGCAAGTATGGAGCTGAAATCATCACTGAGTAAATACAAATCATTTTTTTCTCTTCTAATTTGAACAGAAAGAGACAAGAGAAGACAAACGTGGACAGCACTGGTCCTGGAAACCTCTGCTCAACAGTCCTGGGTTTCTCATGGTGAAGCAGACGTTTTTGTACAAGCCTGATGGATCAGGGGATTGAGCAACATGCTACAGCCTGTGTGTGACACGAATGTTCTACATTAGGGTACTGCGTCGCTTTTAAGATACTGGACCCTGTAAAATAGGCCTTCACTAACACATCCACTAATTACATGGTTCCTTTATATTTACAAAATCTTTTAAAAAGCAACATTTCTCTACACGTAGGACTGGTTCAGATATCGTTCATGCACTAAAAGGAGAAAAGAAGCGCTCTACTTGTTAAAAGCGTCATTTAGTTTCACCGTGGACGAATGGGAGAAGAGTAAAACAACCTCAGACAGGCGGCGAGAGAGAGAGAGAGAGAGAGAGAGAGAGAGAGATCAGCGGCGGGTCTTAAAGAGGTCAGCAGGGATTTTT